CCAGGCGGTGGGCAAGCACTTCGTCCTGAATTATCGAGGTGTTCTGGTAGATGAAGACATCCTCGATGGCAAGGGTAGGGAGCTCGGAGAGCATGATTCGGCGGAAGGCATTTGCGACCGATGTGTCTACGCCAGACAGCGAGAAGGAGGAGTCGTAGGGTGTGGGCCGGGCGTGGAACTGGACGTTGAAGTTCTGCAGTCGTCAGACTTTGCGCCAAGTCACTCGGTTGACAGGAGCAGCGCATACCTCCTTGAAGTACTCCAGGTCCCACTCATGGTTTTCGCCTGGCCAGTGGCCGGGGAAATCGTTGGACTGCTGGTTCTGGACGATCTCTGCGCCGACATGGAGCTTCTGCAGGCGCTGTCAGCAAATATCAAAACACCAAGTCGTGATCGCAGGCGTACCTTGCGCTCGGCCAGCACGGTGGAATTGGGGAGAGCCATGTTGGCGTTTCGTGCTGCGGGAATTCGAGGTGCTCGGCGCGGGCAGCTCAACTTTTTTGATAGCCATATCGGCCTGCAAATGCCAAGCGCCGACGCGCGCGGGCCAATGAACACCACGACAAGTCCATGACATATCGATTTTGGTAGAGCTTCATCCCGCCACGCCCTCAATCTCCACTCCACACGCCCATTGAGGCTTCACAAGGGCATCACCAGCGAGCCTCACCCACCATGCCCGTCTCCGTTGCGCGTTTGGCCGGCCACGCCGCCAAGCGTGTGTGCCTGAACGCCGCCCGCCCCCAGCTTCGCACCGCCCTCCCTACACGAACCATTGCGCGCCCGCTGTCGACCACCCTCGCCCGCCGCTATGCTGAGATCGCTGATGGCGAGCGTACTCGCATGATCCCCACCACCGAGGACTTCAGCCGCCCCATCCAGCCCGAGGACCCCGAGACGCTCGAGGCCATTGAGGAGGAGGAGAGCCACAGCGCTCGCAAGATCCGCCACTACACCGTCAACTTCGGTCCCCAGCATCCCGCTGCCCACGGTGTGTTGCGTCTGATTCTGGAGCTCAATGGCGAGGAGATTGTGCGCGCCGATCCCCACGTCGGTCTGCTGCACCGCGGTACCGAGAAGCTTATCGAATACCGCACATATCTGCAGGCTTTGCCCTACTTCGACCGTCTCGACTACGTCTCCATGATGACCAATGAGCAGTGCTTCTCGCTTGCCGTTGAGAAGCTGCTAAACGTAGACATTCCCATCCGTGCCAAGTACATCCGTACCATGTTTGGCGAGATTACCAGGATCTTGAACCATCTCATGTCTGTCTTGTCTCACGCTATGGATGTTGGTGCTCTGACACCTTTCTTGTGGGGTTTCGAGGAGCGTGAGAAGCTTATGGTACGATGGTAAACTACAGTGGCAAACGACATGAAAGCTAACAGCTGTAGGAATTCTACGAGCGTGTCTCTGGCGCCCGTCTCCACGCTGCCTACGTCCGCCCTGGAGGTGTGTCGCAGGATCTTCCCATCGGACTGCTCGACGACATCTACCAGTGGGCCACCCAGTTCGGTGACCGCATTGATGAGACCGAGGAGATGTTGACTGACAACCGTATCTGGATTGGCCGTACCAAGGGTGTTGGTATTGTCTCCGCTGCCGATGCCATCAACTACTCCTTCTCTGGTGTCATGCTTCGCGGTTCCGGTGTTCCATGGGACATCCGTAAGTCGCAGCCATACGATGCTTATGACAGGGTCGACTTCGATGTCCCCGTCGGTGTCAACGGTGACTGCTACGACCGCTACCTCTGCCGTATGGAGGAGTTCCGTCAGTCTCTCCGTATCATCCACCAGTGCCTCAACGACATGCCCGCCGGTCCCATCAAGGTCGAGGACTACAAGATCGCTCCCCCGCCCCGTGCGGCCATGAAGGAGAACATGGAGGCTCTCATTCACCACTTCTTGCTGTTCAGCAAGGGTTACACAGTGCCTCCTGGTGAGACCTACAGCGCCATCGAGGCGCCCAAGGGTGAGATGGGTGTTTTCCTTGTCTCGGACGGCAGCGAGAGGCCGTACAGGTGCAAGATCAGGGCACCCGGATTTGCTCACTTGGCCTGCATGGACCAGATTTCGAGAGGGCATTTGCTGGCTGATGCTGTCGCCATTATTGGTACGATGGATTTGGTCTTCGGAGAGGTTGATAGGTAAGCGAGTATTCGGGGGGCATATCGACAGCTAGAGGTGTGTTTTGAAGAAAAACGGAATTGTGCTAGCTTGAGATACCAGGCGGCTGATTGTACATACTGTACCCCTACTTTTTCTTTTTGAAGTCAATCAACGTTTGCATGTTCAATGATTCATAGACAGTGATTATATATGTGCTATCTGCTTTGCTAGAATTTTTGCTGACCCGGGATGACTTCGTTGTCGTCAAGCTTGTCTTTCTGCTCGAGCAGTTGGTGTCGTAGTCAACTCACACCCACGAAACGAGGGAGGTACGCGGATACGCTTTGAAGGCCTCCATCAACAATGACAAGTCAAAGGTCTCATCGTCTCAGTTTCGTGTAGTACATGCAGAGGCGCGCTCGTGCATACCAGCTCCACACGCAAGCGTGTTCGTACCCTTGTGTTCATCAAGCTTGGCCCTAAGCTTGTTCGATCATTACACACAAACACCATCTCCGAAACAGCGCAAGCCGATCATCCTATCACTTCCGCCCCGATAAACCCTCAACGATGAACCTGCTTGCACAAAACATTCTATTGCGTGCTCGTGCAGGATGACGACCACCGGCCGTGCCGTCCCGTGTTCGATCTTGAGGGCTTTATTCGCTCCTGGGGGGAGCGAGCATCTACCCCACCATGCACATCAATATCTTGACATCGCACCGATTGCACTTGCGCGACTCCACCAGCCTTGCGGTAGGTTACGACAGATCTACAGCGATGGCGAGTACTTCACATTCCACTTCGGCGATCACTAATCCCACTTGTGCTTGAAGCTGTACGAAATGACAAGATTTGATAGAATATCCACCTTCTCCTGTGGCGCAGCACGGCATACACGCTCGCCATTGCGATTGTAGTGTTGAGTTTGGCCGAAGCTATTGTGTACCATCACGAAAGTGGAATACAGCCGTGCATCTGGAGCAATCTGTGGCGCAGTCGCCCATGACGCTCAGCTTGACAGGGGTCTCAGATGTGATCCCGCTCCACCAACATGCGGGGTCTGGATCATTGCGGGACAGTATCTGAACCTGCTTTCATGTGGCTTACCGGGCCTGAAATCAGGATATAAAATCGGCTCGTTGCTTCTTTGCAAGAATTAAGAAATCATTACCTTTTTGCACCCAGTGACATATACACTCGTCTCTTTGGAACACCTGATCGATAACCATGTCTTACAACAACGATCGCAACAACTCTTCTTACGACGAGGATCGTAGCTCTGGCTACGGCAACCGTGACCGCGATGAGTACTCATCGGGCCGCAACGACGACTCCTATTCGAACAAGCAGTCGAGCGGCTACGGTGACGACAACGATTCCTACTCCAACAAGAAATCCAGCTACGGCAACAGTGACAGCACTTTCTCCGGAGGCGTAGGTCGCAGCAACAAAGATGACGATGACTCGTATGGAAGCGGACGCAAAGAATCCGGGTTCGGTCTGGACGACAATGATACACTTGACTCCAGCGACAACAACAGGCACAAGAGCTTCGGTGACCAGTCAGGCGCTTTCGGATCAAAGAACGACAGCTACCCAAGCAAGAATTCATCTTCGTCTCGATTTGGCGAGGACAATGAGAAGTCCTACAGTGCCGAGAAGGTGAACGAATTTGGAAACAGAAACAGCAGCAACGACGATGAGGGATCTTACGGCTCGAAGAACAAGTCGAGCTATGGTAACAACGATGACTCGTACGGCTCCAAGAAGACCAGCTACGGCAATGACGACGATGACACCTCGTACGGCTCCAAGAAGTCTAGTACCTACGGCAACAACGATGACAACGATGGCTCGTATGGATCCAAAAAGTCAAGCAGCTACGGCAACAACGACAACGACAACGACGAGGATTCATACGCTTCCAAGAAGTCAAGCGGCTATGGCGACAGCAACAACAACGATACATACAGCTCCAAGAAGTCCAGCTACGGAAGCAACGATCGCGATGACGACTCCTATGGCTCTAAGAAGTCTGGCTATGGTGCTAGCAATGATGAGGACTCATACGGTTCCAAGAAGTCGAGCTATGGCAACAATGACGACGACACGTATGGATCCAAGCAGTCCAGCTACGGCAACGACTCCAATGAGACCTCGTATGGCTCCAACAGGTCGGGACGCGGCAACGACAGCAACGATTCGTATGGTGCGCAGAAGTCGAGTTACGGCAATGATGATGAGGGCTCGTATGGCTCTGGTAGGAACGATCGCCAGGAGTCTAGCTATGGTAGCTCGAGGCGTGATAACGACTACTAGAGAGTATGTCTGAGAGAACCATTAAAGTTAGCTGTACTTGAAGGTTACAGTCTCCTTGCAAGCAGGATGAGGGTTGTACTAGTGTAGAAGCTCGGCATGTATCAGCTCAGAACAATGAATTCGCTGTGCTCGCTTACTGTATAACACAAATGTTACTGTGTCAATTTCCATCGATTTGCAAGTCTCGAAACTTTTCTTATCTATCGACAGTCATTTCTATGTAGCCAAACAAGACGATGATACACATGGGCTAGATTGTTTGAGAATCGAGCAAACATTTACTGCCTGAGCCTCGCACCTCTTAAGACGCAAGGATGTGACCTTGACAAAAACAAATTTCTGCTTGCCGCCGCAACCCACAGCACCATGCCCTTCACTGGAATGGGGTTCAGCGGCACAATCACAGCATCTCTCGATCCGCCCCTGGTGAACAGGAGTGACGAGATCCGCGCAACGCCTGCAACAGATTTTGGGCATACATGGCATACAAAAATGACTAGTTCCGCACACTCATCCATTCATGAGATCCCTTGCCTGCAAGATCCGGTAGTCGAGCAAAAAGATTGGACGCTGTGGGAATTGAACCCACGACCTTTCACAAACTCATCAATTAGATGCGAAGCGAAAATCATACCCCTAGACCAAGCGCCCTGATTCTTACTGCCTATTGGCTGTTGATGAAATGTTGTCCAGTTTCATCATATATTATCACTTTTTGTCCCCATCTCGATGAGTTTATCTTGACACTTTCCGCGTCAAATATGATTCGGGCTACTTCTAAGTGCCAGTAGAGAATCCTTGTTATTCTTCACATCTATCGACCGTCACAAGAGTAGTTTTGGTGCAAGAAATGTGATCATCAAAGCCACCGGCTCCATCTTGACTTGCACAAACGCGGGCGGTGATCCCATGCGAGACAAAGCAAACACAGAACACACAGATCGAAGGTATACCCGGGAAACACACAATGGGCTAGCTGGACATGGGTTTTTTGACGTTTTCAACTTATGAGATCCGAACAACGGCGAAGCTATAGCGAGACTTCAGAAGCCTTGAACCGAATGAGGTTGTGGATTGTTTCCGCTTCATGTTCTTCAGCTATCTATGGAAAAGTGTGTTGGCTTGGTCGAAGTCGCCACACAGTGTCGTATCCTTACCCAGCGTGACTGCCGTCCAAACAGCTTCAGGCACCTTGTTGCTTTTGGTCGAAGCTTGAAGTCCTTCAGATACTTGTTGCGCGCATAGTGAGAATAGAGCCTTTGTGTCACATTCCCACATTTCTTCCCACAAGCCCGAGTTTACCGCCTATACAACATAATAAGCCAATCTTTTGACAGCAAGATGTACGTTAGGTACATGTTTGTGTTCGGAGATGGGAAGGCAAAGTGTAAAGGAGGTGCAGACAACAGGACATGTCAATGCAAGCTTGGGACACGAGTCATGTCATATAGGGAATCCTTATCGATAAGTTAGCGTGGCACCAGAATCCATGAGCTCGAAACAATTCTTGAGATATCAAAGGTGCTCTAAGACGCAATCGCCCTACATACACTCGTCCGCGCCTGTCGCATGCCCGCCGATATGTCGAAACGAAAGCACGAAAGCGATGAAGAAGATCTTCGCGATGTCGGACTCGGCGCGACGCTGGCGCATTTGAAGGGAGAAACACAGCCGAACGCGACGTCGACCGCCGCCGAGGACGACGGAGGCTGGACTGTAGCCGGCGGTTCCAAGAGGAGGAGAAAGGAGCAACCAGACTCCAATAACTTTTGTGGACACCGTCAAGGCTCAAAGTTTGGTGCGCAGGACGCTCACTCTGTCGCCAATCCATTTGTCCCAAACGGCGAGAATCTAGGGGACGGAAAATCGACTTCAGAAAATCCCTTCTCAACATCCATAGACATATCCGAGAGAGCTCCCAAAGATGCTAGTACAAGCAGAGTAGAGCGACGCAAAGAGCGCAAGCTCGAGAGGAACTATCCGTCCATTGAACACTCACATCACGCACGCCTGCAGTCGCACGTGAAGATCACCGATCTGCAGGCTCTTGTGTTGTATTTGCTTGCAGATGGTAATGCGCCTCAATGGGTCTCTGTGCGTAATCGTACAAGCATTCGACAGGTTGTCATGCTCATGGTTCCTGGTCTGGAACTGGGCATGTTCAATGGCAAGGTCTCACTAGACGCGGCCACAGCCATGGATATTGATGCAGCTGCTGATGAAGTAGCTGCTGGTACTGCCTCCGCTCCTCAAGAAGCCGCTTTCTCGGATAAGGATACATCGAGTTACCTGCGCATTGCAGACAACGAGTACTATCCTGCGAGCCTGAAACCTAACAAAATGCCTGCCGCCCTCAAGCCGTTGTCTGACATTTTCGACCATGTCTGGCCTATCAAAGCCCAAGGCGAACATCGCGGTAATCAATTTGTCAGGGTGCATTCGCCAATTCACACCATGCTAACATCGCAAATACCAAAATCTAAAGAGGAGAAACAAATGAAGAAGCATGGCGGTCACAAAGGACCTATGCCACAGAATTCGAAGCACTGGGACAACAAGCGTACGCCGATCACCGAATACATCGCTACTCTTGCAGAACAGCAAGAAAATGAATACGTCCTACATCCCGCTTGGTTTTTAACGCCGGAGTCCAAAGCAGCTGCGCTCAAGCAGAGGCAGGAACTTAACCAATCAGTAGAAGACGGCTGGGTAGACACCAACGTTGCAAGCCTGGAGGACGGCGAGGTGCCTGAAAGCGAAATTGAGCAAGGCAGTGTGACTGCCGGACGCCACATTATCTCAGTTGATTGCGAGATGTGCAAAGCTGAGAACGATCAGTTGGTACTGACACGAATCAGTCTTCTAAATTGGGACGGCAGTGTAGCTATGGACAAGCTAGTCAGACCGGACGTGCCCATCAAAGACTATCTGACCCAATGGTCGGGTATCACACCGGCCATGCTTGAAAATGTCACTACGACATTGGCAGACATCCAGAAAGAGCTGCTGGAACTGATCAATCCACGCACGATCCTCATTGGACATTCCCTGAACTCCGACCTCAACGCAATGAAGCTCACACATCCTTTCATCATCGACACAGGGATTCTATTTCCTCATCCCCGCGGACCGCCATATAAACAATCCCTGAAATGGCTTGCTCAGAAGTATCTTCACCGAGAAGTCCAGAAAGGCTCCAGTGGTCACGATAGTGTGGAAGACTCCAAAACATGTCTTGACCTAGTCAAACAGAAATGCGAAAAGGGGCCCAAGTGGGGATCCGGCGACACAAATGCTGAGTCTATATTCAAACGACTCGGCCGCACACCGCGACCGAAATCAAATGATACACGCACTGGAGCAGTCATCGACTGGGGCGAGCCACAACGCGGCCATGGTGGTCAGGCACAGCTGTCCCAGGGTTGCAAGTCGGATGATGAGGTTGTCGAAGCCATCGATACTGCTATGAAGGGAGCAATGCAGGCTAAAGATGGTGCCACGGACAAAGTTGACTTCGTCTGGGCACGCTTGCGCGAACTAGAGATTGCTCGAGGTTGGTGGGATGATGCGAAGACCCCAGACGTCGAGCTTATCCGACAAAACGCGTTGCAAAGATTAGGACTTTCGAAGAACGATGAAGACGAAGTCGAAGTCAAGGGCGTCGAGCTTGGCGAAGCTGTTTCCAAAACCGTCAAACACATTACACAGATCTACGATTCATTGCCACGCTGCACAGCGCTCATCGTGTACAGTGGCACGGGCGACCCACGAGAGATTCGCCGCTTGCAAACGATGCAACAGCAGTATCGCCGCGAATACGCTACGAAGAATTGGGATAATCTGAGCGTAAAGTGGACAGATACTGAGGTACAGGCCCTTTCGCAAGCTTGTCAAGACGCGCGCAATGGCGTAGGCTTCATTGTCGTGAAATAGGATGCATTTATTTGTGTCTCATGTGTGCTACACGTGCAGTAGCACGAGGGTTTCAAGCTGAGCCTATATGCTAAGCAGGCGCTTGCAGTACAGCATCATCCATATCTTATCGCCGCACTACTGGGTGGCGCCTGTCAACGCCAACGATGGCGTATGAAAACGGAAAACGGTCGTAGATTTCCACATTCTACCAGAAAGAGTTGAGACTAGGGAATACAGACCGATATGGACCGCGCTCAGCGCAAGTATTTGTTCTAAATTGGAGCGAAGTGCGCTCCTATTTCATTTTATCACATGCATTACGTATCGCGCGCCATGCCTGCATTTGCATTTATGTATTGTCCCTTGCATGTAAGCAGACAGGTTCGGTGATTATTGCCCGTTATGGCGTGTGCTGCAAAAGTAAATGTTGTGTGTAACCTGAGACACGAGCAGCAATTCTACTTCGGACCCACAACAGCGACATCTCCAGACATATTGTGCGTCATTCGCATCTGGTAGTCCGCTAACTGGCGCCTGGCAGTGCTCGTTCTGTCGATGATACGCATAAAGACAAGATAACAGGCACCTGATGAATGATTAGGAATAACGATAGGCAGCGGATTCGTGGACAAATGAATATTAACCAGGTTCTGGAACGCATAAGCCGGTAAAGGCAGATTAGCGCGTTCTTTTTCGTGATTGAATGCGTCTATCCAGTTAGCGTGTCTGGTAAGAGGCGCTAAGTCATTAACTTCTGCTAATCTTAACACCCTTTTCCTCTCTGAGCTTCCATCGGCTGTTTTCTGTCACAAGCCCTTTTCGTTGTTCGGATCCCAACAATCCCTCAATCTCGTATAGGAATCGCTAATTTATTCTCACCTCATCCTCTGCTCCGGGCTTCGAGACTCCGCGCACTCAAGCCGCTGACAGACGCTTTAACACGTAATCCTGCGCACCAATTGTTTGTCCAACTACTTTCAGATCGCTGCAAACGGCTATCGCGGTGGCCTTAAGCGTATACGAGTAGAAGATAATCGGCTACTTAGCCCTGCGTCATCTTTCATCAATCTTTAGATTGTCGGCCCGTTTTTATGTGCTGCACTCAAAACCTTCCAACCATCTGAAGTCCGAAAGCATTCGTACAAAAAGCACAGCTCATGGCAGGCACGAGACAACAATCTCGGGCTCGTGACACGAGCAACACACATCAGCGCCAGCGGTCGGCGTCTCGTGTAGCATCAATCGTGCCAGAGACCGCAATTGCTGCGAAGACCAAAGTCGTCGAGATCGCTGGAAGTGCTGACGAAGCAAAAATACAGTTTGGAGCTCCTCCCCAATATGAAGCGCCAAACGACCGCTCAGTCACTGCCTTTTGCAAGAGGTGCAGTGGCAATGTAGGGGAATTTTACAACTCATGGCACAAGGTAACGAGCAGCTACTATAGCCCGGCTCTGCTCGGGTCTTACAGAAGTCTGCTACGTCCGGCGGGTCAGAGAAAAGAGGCTTCAGACTCAACGGAACTGGCAGGATGGTAAGTGCATTTGACTCCCTCGCATATTGGGCCCTATTACGCATTGTCGTTTTCGCACAGCTGCCTTTCCCAGTCAAGAACCCGGTAATGCCCTAGCATTAATGAGCCTATCCTAGCACCAATTAAAACGGTCTGGTACAATGTATTAAAATTCTTTTGGCGCGCCTGCGCTAGTCATGTCAGATTATCTCCACTCTACACATCA